CTTCAGGTTCTTGAGGGTCAGCGAGATGCAGACGTCCCCAACGGAGAGTTTGGAACACGGCAAATCGAAGAGCTGGCTGGTTCGCTCTGGACAGCAGGACGACCAGCCCTGTCCGAACACAAAAAAAGGGTACTCTACCAACACCTCCACGCTGACCTGTGGGACGGTGAGAGACAGAGAGGGGAGACAGAAAGGAAGTAAGTGAAACCTTTTATTCGGGTTTTATTTCACACACGTGCAGTGCAGAAGCCGAATGGGGCAAAATGAGACAGTTCCACAAATCTCCTCCACTAACACACACTACCGAGGCTCTTAATTTTCTGCTGTATTTGTACTTACCGTATGCTGATGTTGGGCAGACGCCAGTGTAAAAGTCCCTTCAGCACTCAAAATATCATTTTACTGAGTATCAGCTCTAGGCCTGGTCTCTGTGAAAGCAAGTCCGTTGACCCCCAAGGATGAAAGAACATCTGGTGTCAGCACTGAGCAAGGCGCTGGCCTTGTGCTTGATTAGCTCATGAGACAAGGCTCTTCTCTGTGCCACAGGGCTGATGTGGGTCTGAGCTGGGCTGTGTGCGCTCCATGAGGGGGCACTATGTGTTAATCACCGTATCTCTGGCTCCTAAAAGGGGTACCTGGCACATAGTTGAGGCTTCATATTTATTGGATAAATGAATGTGTACCCTGCCGCAGACCAATTCCATCCAGCATGTCATAATTTTAAGTTTCATCAAAAGATTGATGAAACTGGGGACTCAACAGGGTTGAGTCACACATGTAGTCACCTGTTGGGAATGGCTAAAGGCATTTCCCCAAACCTGAATAGGAAACTGATTATAGTTGCCAGACAGTTAAAGAGCATCTTAATCTACATGTTATTGCCTCCTACTGGCCAAACACTTGAACAGCCGTAGGCTATTCCCCAAACTGACAATGCTTCTGTACCCTTTGAAGTGTATTATCTTCACCTTGCCTTAGGACAAATTGTGTTAATAAAAGCAAGGGTCCTAAACAAGGAGGTAGTCTTCAGTTCCTGTAGCTGAAGGTCCTCTGACCCCCAATGCCTTTCAAAATTATATTTTGTGTCCAGACTCTTGATTAGTCTCTGGATTCCTATGTCATCTACGTACAGCGCCTTTTCTAGATTCCTGAACCCTTCTTGATGCTGGGACATGAACCCCGGCAGTACCCTAAGAATTTAGGGGAAGCAGAATCAGGGGAGGTTTGAGGGGAGAACATTGCTGGCAGAGGGTCAATGTGACATATACATCTCAAGTACTTGGTTCATCTACAATAAGCATGTCAAACTCTCCGCCTGTGGGCCGCATGCCTATTACTATAGTGTGTGAGCATGAGCCCATATCAATGTGAATATCATCTGGGGAACATTTCATAGTTCTGGGATATTTTAAAAATGTAAAGAAAGCTAACATTTTTTTGAGTACCTACTATCTGCTGAACATTAGAGTACAAACTTTACAAAAAGTCTTCTGTTTAATGCTAACAACATACTAGTGAAAAAAGCATTGTTGTTCTAATTTATAAATAGGGAACTATAATTATAGTCTCGGAGAGATTAAATCAGTTGCTTAATGTCACAGCTGTGAATTGATGGAATTAGGATTTAATCCAGTCTCTTTGGTCTCCCAACCCATTTTTCTTTTTCCTGTGCTCCCGATCTCTGCCTCTATGAACAGAGATATAATACCCCTAAGAGAGATGAACTTGACATTCCTACTATCCCCAACAGTGGTGAATGTCCCTTGAAATAAACAGGATCCCAATGGCAGGAACTCATGGTTTGTTTCATGGTACAGAAAATTGTGAAATAGTGTTTGCCTTACACCTACTCATACAATTCTAGTCTCCCCATATAAATGTGTGACGAGGCTGCTATTCAATTACAGAGCTACATTCATATCTCGCACACATATATTTGCATATACATATGAACAATCATACAAGTTACAGTATCAGATGGGGATGACCACTGAGTTCCAAGTGGAAGGGCCACCTGGAGCTGGCTCCATAAATCCTGCCCCAAACCTCTTAGAGCCATTAACATCACAAACTGAGCAGCGGAACCAATCCTTCCTCAAGTGGGGATTTTCAAACTGTATTTCCAAGTCATAAAAACAAAGTTCTGAAGTATAAATATCTCCTAAGAATCTACCAGACTCACTGTTTGCTTATCCCTGCCTAACAGCTGTCAGAGGTCATGTGACATTCATAATACTGGAAGCCCTATTTGCAAACATATTGGCCTTTTTGGCTTTGCATGTTCCTGGATGATCCCCTGATTCGGGCAGTCTGTCTCCTTGCCGACAGAAAGCCTAATACCTACCAGTTGACAGTTTTCTTGGTGTGTGAGCCATACCGTACACACTCCTCAGAGCAGCCAATATTCCATGTTCTGAAAACAATGTCTACTGCATATTCATAGACAAGTCTATCTGAGACTTTTACGTGTTACCCAGTATCTACAGACTCATTGAGAAGAAATGTTTCAAGGCCTTTATAACAAGTAACACTACTGATTATTCCAAAGGCTGTGATGTAGATGCATATGCTTCCAATTATATACTCCATAAAGTTTGGGGGCATTTGAAAGCCCTTCATTACTCCCTCATCTCAACACTCCCAAGGCAGGTCTTAGAATTAAATACCATGAGGTCGTCTGTAGCTTGAACAGCCTACCTAACAATTCATGAAAGAAAAGTGATGAGGGAGAGAATATTTAAGTTATGCACTAAAAAGAGCCGATGATAAAGGAATTTATTTTAGCTTGGGTAGGTTTGGGAAGATATGTTCCACCACTTCAAAGGCTTGTCTTTGGTCCCTTCTTCCTAAATTCTGGCTTTGCCTCCTCCCAAAGGAGCTCTGACATCCTGGAAAAGACGCCACACACACATCCTCAGGTGAGTCTACAAACCAACAGTGAAAGATTATTCAGATAATGTGATTGTTGTAAACAGTGGACTGGATAGCTCATGTCAAATGCTACTTTTTCTCCTCACTGATTATTCACCCTCACTAATATTTATCCTCAGACATTTCCCTCCTGACTATATGCAACCTGAATTATCTAGAAAATGTACTTTTTTGGGGTCTGCATGTATGTCAACTAAAGTAAGTATTTTCCCTTTCTTTGGTGAAAGTTAAACTCTCATTGGACATATCTCAGAAAAGGATACTAAAGTATCCATAACCAATCTGTGTATTTCATAGTTAGGTTTATCAGAAGGACATAAACATTCCTAAAGTTTAACTGACCATTAACAGTTAATGGAGAAACCATACGGAGGGATTTTTCAGGAAGAGTATATGTAGTTAGGTCTGTTTGAAATTCCCTTGGAGAAGACTTATCTACCTCAAAACATGCTATCCGTGCTGATGGCTACTGTGCTGGCCAGAAACAGACTTGGTGGGATTTTGTGACACGATGTTACTTTAAACTGGAACAGCGAGGCTGTGAGTTCCTTGAATTTGAGGCCCAAGCAGGTCTCCCCTATGGTGCTGAGAGCTTCCAATGTTGCTGATCACGTGTTCCCACTCAAGGTTTTGCAGTTGTAATAAAGTTCAGTAACCACACTGAGCACCTGCTAAATGTGAGGGACTGCAGAAGAGAACCTGTTGTTTAAGACCTAGCTCTTGCTTCAGTGGGGAGACAACATGCATGCAAAATAAGTAACTTCAGAAGGCACACCTGGATCCCGGCCACCACGTTATCTCATGATGTCCATGTGGCTACCTAGGGGTAACGCAAATGCAGTGTGTCCAAAACAGACCTCCTGATATGCCCCTGCCCACTGGCACCTCTTATCCTCTTCTCATCTCCGTGAATGGCACTTCCTTTATTCCAGTCATTCAAGGGCCCAGAATCACTTTTGACTCGGCTCTTTCATACTATACTCATCAAATCACAAAGCAAATCCTGTCTGTCCTCTCTTCCAAATTTACCTAGAATGAGACCACGTCTCACTGCCTCTACTGCCCCTGTCCTGGCCAAGCCAGCTCACTCTCACTGGGAGGACAAGCACCATGCACAAGCCGCCGTCTGCATGACCCCTCCTCACTGCACCACAGTGACCTGTCTCCTGCGGGTCCTTTAACTGCACCTGCACCTCTGCGTCTGGGTCCACATTAGTCCCTGCAGTTGGAATCCCGTCTGCCCTGTGCACTGTCACCTTCCGTTGCCCTTCTCAGGGCTTTGCTGACCACCCTGCTTGAAATAACAACACCCCAGCCCAGCTCTCTTGCCCTCTCTACCCTGCTTTGTTTTTCCCCCATAGCACTTACTATCTTTCGATGCATTATTGTTTTACTCATGCTATTTATTTCACCTCTTTCCCCAAACTCCCACAAGACTATACGCTCCACAAAGGTGGAGATTTTGTCCATTTTGCTCATCTTTCCATGCCCAGAGTCTAGGATGCTGTCTGGCCTGTAATAGGTGCACGCCTTGCAGTGTGTTTACAGAGGGAAGGCAAACATGAAACCAGGTCATCAGCTTTGTACTGAGCATGCCCAACGCAGCACCCATCAGCACTGACTGCGTGCTTGGAGGTAGACGAGGCTCCTCTCTAAGGGAATTTCAAGAAGACAGACACGATCATATATACTTCAATGGAAAAATCCCTCCCGGTGACTTCTTCATTCACTGTCAACGAATAACTTAGTTCCCTGTTTGCCGTCTTTTTGCAAAAACACTGCAACGGCACAACTGGCCAACAGAGGTCAATGTTTAGATGCTGAGAGGCGCTGGCTGTCCTTGCTTCTTTTCAGCGGGGACTAAACTGGGCGACCAGTCCTCTCCAGGGAGAGGGGCAGCACCTGCCTGGGGGCTGGCTCACCACTCACAGGCAGCTTTCTGGGCTGAGCGTTAGCGGCCTCCCTCAGCACATCCCTGTCAGACGCTGAGTTCATCATGACCTCATAGAATCAAACTTTGGTTCTTTTCTCTCCACCCATGAGGTTCCTCTTTGCTATTGCAGCTGTGCTAATAATCATTCGTTTTATGACATTGGGGGTGTTCAAACGGTCTCTGCTTAAACCCCAATGAACACACATTCCTGAGGGCAGCACCATATAAAAGCCAAAGGACGTTACATAATTCCTGGCAGCGCCACACAGTCCATCTTTTTCATCCATAAATG